ATGCACACACACACTTGCGCAGCTACCTGCCTACCAACCTACCTACCTATGTCGCATCTACATAGTACGTACAAGCCGACCTACTATAGTAATCCAGGCAGCGCAGCATTTCCGAGTCCTTGGTTGCTTGCGGTGCAGGATTGCAGTCCATGTTGTGTTTCTGACACTCCAACGTATGTCCGTGAAATCTCTGCGTGTGCGCATGTATATATATATATATATGTATATATATATATATATATATATATGTTTGTATTTATATACACGTTTATGTTGTTATGTGTATGTATATATGTATGTATGTATGTATATATACTGTTAGATGGCTTAAGATAGATAAGCAAATAGACGGATACATCGAATGCGCGGATTAGTCGGCAATGGTAGCACGTTGTGGTTCAATTGCTCTACTATTGTTTGACATCGGTACCCTATTCTAATCAGTAAGGCCTATGTATTGCCCATCAGAGCCTGTAGAGAAGGGTATCATGTGTTCCAGATTCTGAGACTGCTGCGCCGACTTCAATGTGGTCTTTGCAATGGCCCAACAAACCCCTAATCTTAAACCCTACCAACATGCCACAGCTTAAACCCTAAACCCAAACTCCTGGTGATTTTTTGCTTGCATACTGCAGAATTGCAGATGCAAGCTTTTTGCTTACTTTGTTTACTACGGAGCTGGAGGGCTATCGCGTTGTTCCTGTGAAAAGTGCGGCTGATTAGCAAAGGAGCTTGAATGCTTACTAGCACGGCACTGAAGGTTTCATAGGGATCCTTAGGGGTGTAGGGGGAGGGGGGGTAGGGGGCCTTAAGGCCCATAATAAGGACTAATAAGGCCTATTTAAGGAAATATAGTCCCCTACACCCCTCCCCCCTACACCCCTAAGGATCCCTATGAAGGTTGAAAGTGGGACTCAGGATTCTAAGACATGTGCAGCCCCGGATCGCTACAGAAACACCTTGTCAGGACTTGGCTTCCCGCTGAAGTCATGGTGAAGGTGAACGTCCTCACTTGTTGCTCTGATCCACATGGATTTAGAGTTTACCTAGAGGCTCTAAAGTAGTTCCTTTTTGGGGTTCATATGGTAATCCCGAAAAGGAACTACTATGGAGCCTATGGGTAGGAGTACTTTCCGACAGCACAGCGAGAAGTCGCTGGCTGAAACGGCCGTCGCTTCCGCTGATGTGGAGATCTGAAGTTTCTAAATGGGTGGTTGTCAAAATCAGGGTCCCCTTTTTGGGTCCCTATTATAATACGGCGTCTAATATTTAGGGTACCCCAAAAAGGGACGCTAATTTTGACAACCACCCAAATGGCTCCAGAGTCTGAGACTGCAACAAAACAGAGGGGCTTGAATGATTACCAATTTGGGGGGGTTCCTTGTTATAGTTGTAGTATCACGTGCAACAAAAGCCTAATTATCAAGGCCCCGATATTAGGATGAGGATCGTATGGTGTACAGTGTACAGCCTTTGACTTGCTGCAGAAGATGCCGTCACCACCGTTGCTTGCAATCAATGTGGGTTGACAGCAGCTTCAAGTGTGGCATCCCAATCAGTCAGTGGTGATCTCTCAAGAGCGGGTTTTGGTGTTTGAGGGTTTGGGGTTAGGGCTAGTCTGCTCTGTAAATGTTGTTTCTGTTCGCCTCGGACAGTGTCAAAAAAAACCGCTGTCCGCAGCAAGCTCTATCTCGGTCAGTCGAGCTAGACCAGCAAATTGCCCTTATGATATGCTGCATATTGCCTGTAAACCCTAAAACCCTAAGCCCTATAAGCCCTAAAACCCTAAAACCCTAAACCTTAAGCCCTAAACCGAATATGGTGCCCGAACAATGCAAGCGAGCGACTCACGCCCAAGAATCCCTGAAACCGCAACTCCCCAAGCAACGATGGTATAAGCTGCGCTCCGCTTCGAGTTTCCTTTGCTGATAACATAAACCGCGGGGTCAATAAGTAACAATGACACACAGGACAGATTTCTCACTGTGGGTCAAGGATTTAGGATACAGGACCGATTATTCATTGGGGCGTTAACTGGCTTAATATTGGAGCCTGAATTTGCACGTTGCCGTCGAATCACTACATAAGTATATGATACATGTATATATAAGTATGTATATATATATATATACATAGATCATATATATATATATATATATATATATATATGGTCACGCCCCCCCCCCCCCATGATCCATACCATGTCTTTTTCTACCTCCTGCTGCTCATGCTTCGATTTCTACATGACTTCACCTACATACAAAATCATCGGTATTTGCGGTATTTTCTGCACCTAGCATCTACTTAACTCTACATTTTGTAATTTGTTCTCACATGTTATATCCCCACGAAACCCGAAACTGATTCTGATTTCACTTTCGGGCTCCGCTCTTCCATCCAAAACCTGGCACTCCATGTTTCAGGAGGCATCACCGGTGGTTGTGCAAAATCTTCAACATGTTGCCTGTCACTGTCGCCATGTTTTGGTGCCGATGCCAATACTCAATCTGGCAGCTTCGAATCTTCCTGGTCATTGCCTGATTGCCTGGAAAGCGTGACACATACTTCAAGTGTTTTCATAATATTATAGTATTAACGCTAATACTACTACTAATACATATCACAATATTTTACTAACATCAATATTTGCAATAGTATTGATACTCCTACGAGTACGAATACATAAACTCTTGTGGTGTTAACAGTAATGCTACCACCAACACTGATACGGATATTGATAATCTGTTGAATATTCATGAATGCCAGTACTATTACCAGCATGAACACTCATATTATGGCTAATACGACTATGAATAGTCCTAATTCTAACATCAACATTAATACTCCTACGAATACCAATAGTATATTCGTATTGATATGAATACTAATCTCTTTACTACTAGACAACTGCATATACTAATGTACATAAAAATACATACCACTATCTTCAGATACAGATATATACATTAGTGCATTCATGTACTAATGTTTTGGCATAGACATATACCCATATACCAATGTAATAATATACTTCCCGTTAATGTATGAATATACTAAACTAATATGCCAGTATACTAATATACGACTACTGCAATATGCAAGTATACCGACATGACAAATTAGTAGACTAATATGCCAACATACTGATATACTTGTAAATATGCCTAGACAATACATGAATATAGAACACATACTAGTAAACTAATACACCAATATACTAATGTACTCGTGCACCAGTTATACTAACATATCAAATATACAAGTATACAAGTATACAAGTATACAAGTATACAAGTATACAAGTATACAAATATGTTACTGTTCGAATGCATTAATACTATATTGATATACTAGTCTGCTACTATACGAAACTATCAATATACTAACATATCAAAACTAGTTCTAGTATTGATACGAATATTAGCACTTCTGCGAATATAAGCTGCGATTAAACCCTACATTAAGACTGACACTGATACTAGCAGTGGTGCTGTATTACTGACATTGACACTGGCACTAGCGGTAACTCTAACACGAGCATGGGCACCAACACTAATCTATATTTACTATATTGACATGTATACTATTACAGCAAACACTAGTACTAATATTATCAAGAACAATACTCATGCTACTATCGCTACTCCACAAACATATCACGTAACTCATGTGCCGCACGTCTGGTGCATGCGTCCTCAGTACATGGCATGTCAAAGTATATGTTGTATATCTACTGCAAATGTTTTACTTTACAGATTGACGTCGGGTGTGGTGTGCTTTGGTACAATATCTCAAGGAATTGGTGGCATCGAGAGCATCTTGCAAGGATATGTCACCCCCGTCGCGGATCATGCTGGAAAAGAGGAAAAGAGGGACACAAACGATGACTTTCACTCGGGAGAGAACTGCAACGGATATGTCGTGGAACATACCGCACCTTGACATGGCATTAAAGCAAAGCATATGCCATGTGTATACACGTGACAAACAAAGACATAATAGGAACACAGCATCCAAGGTTAGCAAATGCCGCCTGGCTCGAAAATCCCCAAAATTTGTAAAGCCTGAAATGCGAAAACATCGGCAGGGCTCAAAAATCCCCAAAATTCCCAAAATCGTGGCATCTATGGGGCCATGGGTGTTTAGTTTTGCAAACTTTGGAGATTTTCGAGCCTGGCAATGTTTTAGCATCCGACGTTGAAGAAATGCCGCCAGGCTCGAAAATCACCAAAATTTGTAAAGCCTGAAATGCGAAAACACTGGCATGGATCAAAAATCCACAAAATTCCCAAAATCCTGGCAACTATGCGGAGTGCGGGGCCATAGTCTGTCATATTTTGGGGATTTGGGGAATTTTTGATCCCTGCCAGTGTTTTCGCACTTCAGGCTTCGGGAATTTTGGGGATTTTCGAGCCTGGCAGTGTTTTAGCATCCGACGTTGACGAAATGCCGCCAGGCTCGAAAATCACCAAAATTTGTAAAACCTGAAATGCGAAAACACTGGCAGGGATCAAAAATCACCAAAATTCCCAAAATCCTGGCAACTATGCGGAGTGCGGGGCCATAGTCTCTCACATTTTGGGGATTTTGGTGATTTTTGATCCCTGCCAGTGTTTTCGCACTTCAGGCTTCAGAAATTTTGGGGATTTTCGAGCCTGGCAGTGTTTCAGCATCCGAAGCTGCCCAGCTCCCATGATCCACTGCTTACCAAAAGCAAGCATAGTATGGATCATGGGGCGGGGGCGTAAGCATATATATATATATATATATATACACATACAAAGCCGCTTATTGAAGTTATAGGCCTGTATAGCACAAACCTGTAAGCCCCTTAATGTTGCCTGCATACAAAGCCCTGAAAGGAAGCCAATCCCCAAACCTTAAGCCCAAAACCCTGAAAGGAACCGGTCCTGATTATTAAGTCCTCTTTCTCTAAACCCAAGACCCCTTCGAAACTATTCTAACTATTCTAAACAGTAAGTCCTCTCTCTTATGGTAAGGCTCGGCCCATCCGCAGCTGGTAAGTCGACGGCGCTGGCTGAAAAACGACTGCAGGCAAACAGCTGTTGAGTCGGTTGGGGACAGGTTCAGGGGGAAGTATAAGGGTCAAAACAAGGGTTACGGCTGATGATATAAATCGTGCATTACCTTAATAGGACCCTGAACTATGGGAATAATGGCATATTCCTTATTATGGGTAATGCAGGGTTTATACCATCAACCGTATTATAAGGGTTTACGGATTGGGGGTTTCAGGTTTAGGGCTTGTGGGGTTTAGTGAAGCTTAGTGTTTAGGGTTACTTGGAGGGTTACTACAAGGGTTAAGGGGTTCGGGATGAGGGAGGGTTTTGAGGCTTAGTGTTTAGGGCTTAGGGCTGCTGCAAGTATGTTCCTAAAAGGCTTCCCTAACCATTTCTACAGGGGAGACGATATAAGGCGAGAATTAGTTTGGCGGCGTAGGGTATAGAGGTGAGGGTTCCGGTTTTGGGGCTAAGGGTTTGGAGTGGTTAGTTGATGTTCCTGATTTTGGGGTTTGGTGTTTGGAGTTTAGGGCTTACGAGGCTTTCGGACTTTGAGGTGTAGAGTTTTACATTGCGCTCGCGAAGTCGGTTTTGTAACTTCGCATCAGCCGATAAGCCGATAAGCCGAGCAGCCAGTCTTGACCTGGAGTGCAAGCCGTCCAGGTGATCAGCCGATCGGCTGATCGGCTTATCGGCTGATCGGCTTATCGGCTGATCGTGATGACATCCATGGTCTATTGGGAAAAGAGCTCCCATGTCCAATGTCTGTTGACGTCCATGGTCTCCTGCGATTCAGGAACCATCCATGCCCAAAACCTAAGGACGTCCATGGTCTACTGCGATTCGGGAACAGAGCATCCATGCCCAAAACCTAATGACGTCCGTGGTCTACTGCGATGTGGGAACAGAGCATCCATGCTCGAAACCTAATGACGTCCGTGGTCTGCTGCGATGTGGGAACAGAGCATCCATGCCCAAAACCTAATGACGTCCGTGGTCTACTGCGATGTGGGAAAAGAGCTCCCATGTTCAAAACCTACTGACGTCCATGGTCTACTGCTCTGTGGAAAAAGAGCTCCCATGTCCAACGCCTGATGACGTCCATGGTCTACTGCGATTTGGGAACAGAGCATCCATGCCCAAAACCTAGTGACGTCCGTGATCTACCGCGATTTGGGAACAGAGCCTCCATGTCCAATCGGTTTATCGGCTGATTGGCTGATCGATTATCGGCTTATCGTCTTATCGGCTGATCGGCTGATCGGCTTATCGGATTATCGGCTGATCGGCTTATCGGCTGATCTGCGTAGCACGGTTTGGCGCCCAGATCCCACGCACACTGGAGTTTTAGACCCTGAACTAAACCTTAAACCCTTTATCGGTCTGTGGGTGAACGGCTTACAGGATTGAGGGTGCAGGCCGACTGCGCACTTGCGTTCGGGGAGTTTGTGCCGAGATGAACTTCAAAGCCCCATCACATGAAGGTTAAAGTGCGAGCAGGACTTCAACCCCAGGCCCAAAACCGCTGCAAGCCCCAAAATTTCAACCAGCTGCAGTGCTCGGGGTTCGGCTGCCGGGTGGACAGCTTAGACAACCCAACGTCATCCCTGAAGACCCGAAAAGCCGTTGACCATAATTAGATTTATAACCTGTAAGCCCTCGACTATTGTCTTGACTTGCGTGGCCCGTGGAGAACACCCCCTCCCCCAATCCAGACGCACGTTTTGCTCGGTCAAAAAACTTTCCGCGGACTGTATGATCCAGGTTCCTCCGGGGGCTATGACTTTGGACGGCTCCATCATCCGAGAGACGAGCGCGGTCTGGAAGAAGGCCTGGACGAGTGGCGGTCCGCGAAGTCGGACAGGCTTCTGGGGTTTCGGGTTTAAGGTTCCGGGTTTAGGGTTTCGGGTTTGGGGTTTCGGGTTTAGGGTTTAGGCATTTTGCCAGCTCGTGTCAGTTAGAGTTTGAGGGTCTTCTGGGATTCTGGGGAGTGGGCTGAGGGTTGCTGTCCGGCACATACAATGGCCATGATTCGATTCTCAATTCTCCTATGTGCCTAATGAAAGCACGACTTGATCGGGGCTCTTGTTTGGGACTTGGTTGATTCTACCAGCCCGACACTAGTCCATCTAGTTGTGGGCTGCTGTGAACTGCGTTCGTTTATTGCAGATTGGGTGAAGCAGAGAGCAATAAAAGCCCTCGTTGAGGGAGGTTTGAAGCCAGACCCGTAATTGAGAATAGAATGGGTGGCTGGGGCGGGGCTGCTGCCGCAGGCACGCGACAAGTGGGCGCACCGCATTGCTTATACAAACCTTAAACCTTGAGCCCTAAACCCCCAACCCCAAAGCCTATCCCAAAGCCCTCAACCCTCAGCCTTAGATGCCTTCAACCCGAATCCTCAAGCGCCCCTAAGCCCCAAAAAAACTTACATGCCCTAAGCCCATCTAAACCTTAAACGCCTCAAACCCTCCTGAACCTTAAAGGCCCTATAAACCCTGAGCCTCAAGCCCGAATCCCTACCTAAACCATAAATGCCCTGAGCCCTATAACAGCCTGAAGCCGAAGGTACAATTATGCTTCTATAAAAACATTATTATATACCATAATCCTATAAAAACATTATTTTATGCCATAATCCTATTATAATACCGATGACTATAATATTGCTGTACTACAATTACTGCCCTGCCTAACTCTGAAGGTTCGGAAGCTGGCTCTTGCCCGGGGCTTAGCTGGGTCAGGGCCTCAGAGAATCGACTGATGCTGGGTTTTGGTGCACCAGGCTCAGCGACTTAGGGTTTCGGGTTCAGGGTTTAGGGTTCAGGGTTTAGGGTTCAGGGTTTAGGGTTCAGAGTTTGGGGTTCGGGGTTTGGGTTTAGGGTTCCGGGTTCAAGCTTTGGTGTTTAGGGCCAGGGTCTGGGTTTGGGAGTTTGGGGTCTTGAGTTTTTGTTGGGTTTCTGTGGTTCATATCTTCGGCTGCTCAGGATCCAATAGCTGTTCGGAATTTCTTGGGGGCTTTTAGGATTGAGGATTCCGTGCCTGGGGTGCTTACATCATCATACTTGTCCGCAAGTTCGGTGTGCCGAGGGGATTGGACATTGACTTTGCAGATCCTGGCTTCAAAAACTTCAATAATCTTGGTTAAGGTATGTTTAGGGCTAGGCTGTAGCAGGTGCACCACAGTCCTGGCGTTCGTGCTGAAGCCAGCTTTATCGAGTAATAAGTTGGACAGGCCGTTAACCCTAAACCCTACAGCTAGGCCCTAAACTCTGACAGCCCACCCACCCTGAAGCCTCTGGCCCAACTCACAGCCAAAGCCCCAAAGCCCGAAATCCTCGGTTTGACTCCCCTCTTGAGTCAGGATCCAAGGAGGTTTTGGCCTTCTGCGGCAAAGCCACACCTATACTAAACCCCCACAATACCCCTTGTGGTAGTGTAGGTACTTCTTAAGGCCCCCTATAGTACTCCTTATAGACCCCTTTAAGAACGAAGTGGCAAACCGCAATTTGGTCTGTTAAGTTTCGAGCCTCTCTCTCCTGAAGCTGGGCAGTTCTCCAAATCAGTGTCCCTTTTAGGGCTTTTGATAAGGGTGCCGCTAAAAAGGAACCTTCTGAAGTACGCAGTTTCTTTATGGATTCCGACACCCCTAAACCCTCAGTCTCTACCGAACAATGAACACATGTAGCTTAAGCAGCGAGGTTCTCTGATTACTTCGACACTTTCTTCAAACCTTCCATGGACAAGGCTAACTTGGTTGGGGTCGCTTGGAAAAAGAGGTGCTATTGCGCTTAACAAAGAAACTTGGTTGGGGTGTATGGGATTTAGGGTTTAGGTTTTGAGGTTCATAGCTTAAGGGTCCAAAGTTCAGGGCTCAACGCAGCCTTGAGGTTGATGGGCTTTGGATGCTGTGAAGACGACGACTTCCACTTCGACTTCTAGTACTACCAACTTAGCTAACTAACTACCTTGCTAGCTCGCTCGCTAGCTAGCTGCTACTACTACTACTACTACCACCACCACTACCACTACCACGACCTCGACGACGACTACTACTTCTGATTCTACCGCTGCTTCTATTTCGAGGCAGAACTGGTTCCTTCCGTGTTTCGATGTTGCCAGTATTACCTAACCATTGATATTGGGGGAGCTAAAGAGCCGGGGGTCATGATAATTCCCATTAAATAAGGCGCTAAAGAGCCAAGGGAACCCCAAAACCACTGGTTAGTTATTGCTCGTTCTTCCAATCAGCAGTAGATAATTGGTACCGGCATGAGAGCAGCGAGGAGGACATGGGGCGGGAGCAGGAGGCCCTGTGATTAACATAGGGGCCTTAATAATTACCTATGCTATTTTTTTTTTTTTTTTTTTTTTTTTGGGGGGGGGGGGGGGTTCTTATTCTTTTTATCTTAGCCTAGGCCCCAAAACCCTTATTCTAACTAGTAGGGCTCCTGTACTTATATCGAAACGGCTTCCTCGATCCCGCGGACTGGTTTAGAGACTACGGGTCTTCGGGGGCACGCGAAAAAATTCTGCAGTTGAAGAAGAAGATCTTGGAAGATGCCATGAGGAGCTCTTCCGGAGGGTTTAGGGTTTAGGGCGTTTAGGGTTGAGGGTTTAGGGATTTAGGGTTTAGTGTTGAGGGTTTAGGGGTTAGGGGTTAGGGCTAGGGTTTAGGGGTTTAGGGTCTAGGGTTTAGGGTTTAGGGGTTTAGGGTTTGCGTTGACAGTCTTGTCTTCAGTGAGGGGTCGTCTTTCTGAGCACAGGATGGCACGAGTTGGTATACGATATGAAGCCGGGACCCCTCAACCCTAAAATCGTTTCTTCAGTTGCCGCGATGGAGATGGTGGTGGCCTGCAGCTTAGACCTGAAGGACCAAATACACCTTAAAAGTAAGGGCCCTTTACCCTTCGAGTTTGAGGTTTTACTATGGAATATGAGCCTTTGACCCTTTTAGGGCTCAGTTTCGTCCTTAAGGGATTTGCTAGTGAGAGCTCCCATAACATCGTGCTTAATGTGTGGTTGGTCATTTCGGGGCACTATTAACTATACTGTTAAACGATTCGGAAGCGTGGCTGAATTCAGGGCTGTATAGTATAGGGGCCTTAATAGTTACCTTTTTCCGTTTTGGGATCTCCTCATGATTATCATAGTGTAATGGGCCCAACGCCCTATCTAGGTTCCTGAGTCGTACCCTTTTGCCCTTTTTCTTTTTGGGTTCCCTTCTTAAACCTAGATATCAGGAAAAAGGGGTAGCCTTATTACTAAAAGGTTATTCAGGAACCACCCTAAACCCTAAACCGTGGTATAATGCGCCCCAACACCCTATCGTTCAGGCCCCCGTAGTATCCTGCGAGACCCGAGTCTGGCGCATGGGGTCGATCCCGAACCGTTAAGCTCAACTCCGCAAGCTTATGTCAACGAGACGCCCGAAAGCCTTAAAGTCCTGAAACCCGGAACCCGAAACCCTAAACCCCTAAACCCCTAAACCCTAAACCCCTAAACCCCTAAACCCCTAAACCCTAAACCCCTAAACCCTAAACCCCTAAACCCCTAAAGCCCTAAACCCCTAAACCCTAAACCCCTAAACCCCTAAACCCTAAACCCCTAAACCCCTAAACCCTAAACCGCCTAAACCCCAAGCCTTGAGCCCCAAAGGCCCAAAGCACTAGCGCAGGAGGTCAGCCAACCTCATCATACCGGACACAGGCTCAAACTTTGCAGCCTGGGGCTTGCTGCCCAGGTTTAGGGATCAGGGTTTATGGGGTTTAGGGGTTTAGGGATCAGAGTTTATGGGGTTTCGGGGCTTGAGGTTTCAGGGGTAGTTTTATAGGATTCAGGGTCTGGTGCTTTGGCCTAAGCTTGGGGCTTTGTGTAGCAGCAGCAGTCGCAGTAGCGGTCACGGTAGCAGTGGCAGTCGCAGGAGCAGCAGCAGCAGCAGCAGCATTTGCAATAGTGGTGACCGTCGTCGTAGTACAATTTCTAGCAACGGCAGTGGCAGAAGAAAGACAGTTAAGGAAAAAACAACGGTTAACGCCAGGGCTTAAGAATGCAACAACAACCACCATGATTGAGGAATACGCCGAGTAGTACAGCTCGGATGTTTGCCTAAGCACATGAGGTCTTCCACACGTCTTGTGGCCGAGGCCACAAAGGCTACGATACAGAGGCTGCGTGATGGAGGCAGCTCGGACAAAGTCTGTCGATATTCATCCATGCCCCAAGCTCTAAATCCCGAAAAGTAGGAGGAGGAGGGAGGAGGAGGAGGAGGAGGAGGAGCCGGAGCTGGAGCAGCAAGAGCAGGAGTGGTCGGAATATAGTAATAGTAGAACAAATAGTAAGTTCAAGTCCGAAGGACACAGGAGCAAAAGGCACAACAGAGACAACTCTGTAACCTAAACCCTGTCATTGAGCCTCCGAGCTGAAGCATATCCAAGGCTATCGCCTAAAGTTTGCTGCGGTGCCTGGGGCCCAGAAGCAGATCTGCTTTGAGGGTTTTACGCTTCCGTGCCAAAACCCCTTTACCGTTTCGGAGTTAGGATCTATGTCACGATGTCACGAAAACGATTAGAACAGGATTTGGGGACAAGCGTCGTCTCTACTGCCAGACTTTGGCTTACCTGGCGGGCAGGCTCGCGTGGCTGCAGGGGCAGTGATATCAGTAAAAGCCCGAGACAGGCACGAGCCTGAGAAAAGAAGGCATATACCTTCTGGTGTTTTTGGGGCTTATACGAACTAAGTAAATATGAGTATAGTTAGAATTGATTAGAATCCTAGTTACTAAGTCCCCCCCATGAACCCTAAGGGGTTTATAGGGTTTAGAGTCGAGAGCTCCCTCCAGCCATGGTGTCGGATGACTCTTCTTAACTGAACTGTATCTCTCCCTTGAAAACTTCGAAGTCAAAAGCTCGAAATCTAGATGTCCTAGTGACCCGTTGCCTTTCCCGCCTTCAGGCCGCATATGCTGAGTCCATCGAACGGAAAGCTCCGAACCGGCATAGAAATTAGGGTGTGTGGGTATCAGCATATCAGGGTTTGGGCTTTGGGGTAGACTCCTCAAAACCTCAACAGCGCTTGAACACAAGAGCCCGAAACTGAAGGTTTGGCGATTCGGAAGTGCTTCTGAGCTCGGATCCCGGCGTCGCTGTAATTCGTAATTCTGGGACATTGGAGTGGAGTAATCAGAACTAAGCCCGAACCCCTACAGTACCCTACGCTCTCATCTCTACCTCGCATGGTTTGGGGGACTCGTGGCCATTGCAGGGAAAAGACAAAGAAAGGGCTTCTTGGGGTTCAGCACTTTGAAATCTCAGATGGTTTTCTGTAATTGGGAGTCTTGAGCACCTGCGATCGAAATCGGTCGTTCTCCAAAGTACGGTCCCGTCTGGGGTCCTTTCTATAAGGGTGCCGTACTATTTGGGTGACCTAAGAAGGCACCGTCAAATGGGCCCTCCATCCCAAGCTGGCCTGAACCGTCTCCTGCAGTCTGATCAGGGTTTCGGGTTTAGGTGATAATTATGATAATTTTGAGCTTTGCAAAGGCTTGGGGTTAAGTTAGTAACCTTAACCCCAAGCCTTTGCAAAGTTCAAATACGCTTAGTTTATAAAGGTTCAGGGTATGTTCGGGCTTGCAGTTTTTCGGGATTTTGTGTTCCAAGACGCTAATTTTGTTTCGGGCCTGATCCGGCACGCTGAACTGCCGTGTCGGAATCCTTAACCCAGAGTCCTCCTCGGGAACGTTCTTCGAGATGTGCTTTTTGTAGACTATACGCGGTTTAGGGTTTAGAGTTTAGGGTTAGGGTATAGCCTAGGATCCGTGAGTAAATCTCAGACCCCCTAAACCCTGTGCCGTCTTGCACAGACCTGTGGCAAGAGTATTTGCAACAGCAACGCTTCGAGGCTGCCGATAGTTGCAGCGTGGGCAGTCGGAGTGCGCGGCTGGGCTGACTGTTAGTCGATTGACCAGGCCGACTTGCAAAGCGCCCTGCGGTGCACCAAAAGTGCCGCCGCACTCGGGTTGACGCTGGTCTGCGCGGCGCGATGATACCGCGATAAGATCGCATCAGTATCGTTTTCTTGATGTAAACGTCCCGGCAGCAAAGCGACATCCACTGCACAACAGCACCCAGTGACATGTCCCATGTAGACGCCCGAGTCGAGCAGCGGCTGCGCTTACGCATGAGTCGGCGGCCGTGTTGCACACCAAGCTAGCTCTACCCGGCCACACCCCAGTGCGGGCTGTCAGCTGCTCAAGCCAACGTTCCGAGCAAACATCGGTGGCATCACTACCCAAAAGCACCCGACTGTTCGTAGAATGTGTGTCGGGCGCCGAATAGGGCGAGTTAGGCCGATGCGACAGTGGAAGTGTTATAAGAGGCGCGATCGGGTATCCAGGCTTCATCTGGCGGGTGTTAGTAATCAGTACATGGCCTGATTGAAACATAGCATGGTTATGACCAGGAACACCCGAGAAGAGTATCGCTGGAATCCCGGAAGTAACACAGGTCGCCCGGTGTGACCTGACCTCAACCCTGATTAAGCCTTAAACTTAACTAAACCGTGAAAGCCGTAAAGTCCCTAATGCTTCGATGTTCCCAAGTTCTTTGTGATCTGCTCCCGAGGTCGCGGCCGCGCTCGCGCATCCGAAGACGGCAAGCAGCTGGCACCTCGGAGCTGTGGGGTTCGCGAAGCTGTAGCCCCAAGGGTCCAAAGGACCCAATTCTTAGGTACTCGGTTTTAAGGATAGTAGTGATGTAGGTTAGAATTTTGGAGAGTATATGATTATCAGGTATTTGGACCCTTGCGACCTACCGTTTTGTAGGTCCCTATAGTTTCCATATTAGGGTTTACAGTGAAAGTTTACAGTAAGAACGTACCAAAAAAAGCAGGGTTTGGTAGTTTAGGGTTTAGGGTTCTTGAAAAGGGTTCTATGAGGGTTTCGAAAGGGTACTATGAGGGTTTTACAGGAAACTACGACGATGGAAAAAAGTTCTATCAGGGCTTCCGAAGGGTTTGATCGGGTTTCATAAGGTTGCAAAAAGGGCTTTGAGGGTTTAGGAGTTTAGGGTTGAGGGTTCAGGGTTTAGGGTTTGAAGGGGTTCTACAACAGTTTGGAAGGGGCTCTGTAAGGCTTTAGGCGACAGGGTTCAGGGTGGGTGGGGGCTTAAAAGGGCAATGAGGGGTTGGAGGTGTCGGAGTTTACAGGGTTTTCGTGCATATGGTCTAGGGTTTACAATGCGGGGGTTTCGGGGATGTTGAGAGCTGTTGGGTGTTAGGGTTTGCTTTTCAGGGTTTAGTAAGGGGAGGTTTGGTTGTGGGTTTTTGAGGACTTTTGGCTTTAGGATCAGGTTATGAAGCCCCAGAGAATGCTCATGGAATCGTATCAGAAACCTTAAACCCTTGACCCCAAATTTTAAACCCTGCATCCTAAACCTTGGAAACCCTAAGCCCCTAGACCCTAAACCTTAGAGGAAACCCTGCGGAGGTTCACTGGGAAAAACTGGCAGAAGTCGGTGGAAGCCATCCTCGCCTTGCAGGCACCGGTCGGCGAAGGGCTTTAAGCGGGTAGAGCGTAGGGTTTAGGGATTAGGGTTTAGGGGTTAGGGTTCAGGGTTTAGGATTGAATTTGAGGTTTTGGAGGTAAGCGTTTTAATTTCAGGGTCACCAAAAGGGCTTCTGTACGTTTGGGATTTAGGGCTTTGGGGTGTAAGACTTTCGGCTCTTAGCAGGGCTGCTTGCCCCTTTTCGAAATCCGATGCCTTAATTATTAAACCGTAAAACCGACCAGCGCCCAAATCCTGAACCTTCCGCAGAATCCAGGCCACACGACCAAACCCCAAGACCTCGAAAGCTGAAACCTAACGGCATTAAAGCTAGGTTTAGGCTTTAGCCCTTAAATGACCACAGGAGCTTTGTCCAATCCCATCAAGCCCTCGCAGACCCTCACCTTAAAATCTTCATTGCAGGAGTATCTCCAGAGCAGTGGGCTGATAGATGCCTGTGGCTCGATCCTCGTGCGGCCCAAAGCAGCAAAGCAGGGATAGGGTTTCGGGTTTAATTGAGTTGGGTGGTTGAAGCAATGACTTCAGCTTACGTGCTTTGAGGTGTGCCCCTTTCCACTCTGCATGAATGGGTGTTCCAAGTTCGCCCTAACCACGTTTCAAGCTTTAAGCGTTTTCGCGGAGTTGTTTGAACCTTTAGTTGACCAAACTTGGTACTTGGGCGTTTTTTGAATGGTTTTCCTCCAGGATTCTTCAGGGTTCCCGTGCTTTTGTTTACCAAAGCCGTTGTCTGACTATCAAGTATCTTGGATGGGAGTTTCCGAAAATTAGGGGTACCTTATTTGGGGTCCTTTTATTAAGGATCCTAAAATTTGGGGTGCTATATTAGGCTCCCCTATTTTCGGAAACTCCCGGATTAATCCGAAAAGAAGGGGCGCCTTAGCGGCCGAGGGCTCCCAGAGTGGCGGTGTGAGCATGTCAGGAGGGTTTAGAGTTTAGGGTTTAGGGTTCGGAGTTGTAGAGTTGTAATGTAGGAATCTGATTTTGTTGCCCTGGCCCTCTAACATCCGAATAAAAGGATTCATATAAGGAACCGTTATAAACACCCAGGGTTTCTTAATCAGGTTCCTACATTAGACACGAGGGTTCGTAGAGTTCAATGGGTTCGGGGGCTGCGGATCTGCAGTGCTCGAGGGCTTGGATTCGGATTTATCTACAGGGCCCCCAACCGCAGGATCGTCTCTTGTTTCAGCCGGAACCATCGAAAGCGTGAGCCGGATTCCAAGACCACTAACCGTACCAAAGGGGCCTGAATGATTGCCTATACTATTTTTGGGGGGGTCCCTTATTATGATTCTAATCTAACGGGCCCCAAAACCCTATTCTAATCATTAAGGCCTATAGCACCTACCGTCAACCCTTCTTCCGAAACCCTATAAACCCTGAAACACAGATCTGGAAACCCAGACGACTGCGGCGCTTCCACCCTCAGCTCAGGTTCTGGACAACTCAAGTAGCGAGATGCGCGTCATGAGCCGGTTGCCCAGTCAAGGTCTTATTAATATTTTTAAGGTACAGGGCTTCGGGTTTAGGCCACTGAGGCGTTTCTAATATAAAGTAAAAGCCAGAAAGTTGGAATATGATTCTCCTAAGCCCTTTATGGTAAATTATAAGGTATCCTGCCCTGAAACCATATTCCAACTTTCTGGAGTTCCCTTTAAGGTTTTTTGGTTTAGGGATAGAAGTCGGAATAAGGAGCAAGAGTATTCCCTTATAGCCCCCAATATGCCATAGAGTTCCTTACTACGTGTCTACCAGAATCCAGTCCAAGAAATTGCCCTAAACCCAACACCCCCACCAATCAAAGAAGCAAAAGCACTCCTAAACTTAGGGATACTTAGAAATAATTTTTAGTTTTTGGTTATTAAAAACACTAATTATCATTATTGCTTGGGTTCCAAGTTCTGTATAGTAAACCCTAATCTCATGATGAAGTCCCCTTTATTCAAAGGGGAAAAGGAGGGACCCTTAGTGGGAACCCATACCCTATAATGGGCTATATAATGGGTATATAATAGCTAAATTAAGGGTATATACCTAGGGGTCCTTATTAAGGGTCCCTCCTTATAACCTAAACCGCTTTGGGTTTACGCTCGGACTCTGGATTTTTAGGGGTTTGGGATGTAGGGTTTAGGGTTCATGGTTTAGGGTGGCTTAGGGCTTAGGGTTTAGGGATGCTTACGGTGGCTTAGGGTATTGGGGTGCTCTACTGTAGATAGAAGCAGTTATACTGCAGGATACCTCAACACCCTCGATTTCAATCCTTTCAATACAGCAGCCCATGCCTACGGGACGTATTGCATTTTGCAGGGGGGGGTTCGGGCAGAAAATGTTACGGATCAGCGGCTCCCTTCAGAATCCTAAACCCTAACCCTTAAGCCCTACGGCACCTATCCCCTAAACCGTAACCCTAAACCCTAGACCCTACAGAACCTAACCCCTAATTCCTAACATAAAGCCTAGCCTGGCAGCTCGGGAGCCGGCCGTCGACCCTAGCACCTCCCGTCTCTGAGTATCTGGACTCCATAGGAACGTAGTTCCCTTTTGGCAAGTATCCTAGCCAAGAAAGGAACGTAATCCCTTTTAGGAAGTACCTTATAGGATCCCAGATATGAACCACAAGAAGGAGCGTGTAGGTTTGAGGGTTTAGGGCCCATTTGGGTAGTTCTCTACATTAGCGTCCCTCTTTAGATCCCAAATATAGTACAGGCCCCTTTATCAAGAAGGACCTTGAAAGGCACCCTAATTTAGAGAACTACCCATGTAATGCCGCAAACAGCAATTAAATAATGATAGCAGCAATAATATTGTTGGTATATTAAATAAGAAGAGAAACATTGATAATAGTAGTTAAAGGTTACAATCGTCGTATATTAATAAGACTTGATAGAGCTGAATAAGGCGCATTACAACAGAATATAGTCAAATACCATATGGGGGGGTACAGATAAAGACTCGTCCTTAAGGTTCCGGTTAGAAGTATAGGCAAGTGACCCCAATACCCCATTCTAGCCTTATCCTAACAGGATACCATAGGGGGAGGGGGGGTCGCCAAACCGCAACTATATATATATATATATACACGTTAACCATGTAACAATAAGTGTCAGAACATAAAAACTCTAAACACCAAGCTGTTGCAGTCAAAATCTTTGCCTCAAAACTGTCAGCGATCCTATGCCTAGACCCTCAACAGCAACTTGCACCACCAGTGGAGCTGATGGCTCTGTTGCAGTGCACCTGGAAAAGCAGTTCTCTGCTTCTCTGCAACAGCGGATACTCCTGAATCCCCGTGTGGCCTTAAAGCTGCAACCTGCGAGGTTCCAACGAGGTGTTGTGTCCCGCCAGAGACTAAGCAGAAATCCCCTCGGTGAAAGGACCCGCTTGGTAAACCTAGACATCCAAATGGGGCAGGTGCTAAGGGACTTCTCTGCACTTGAAAGAAAAGCCCCAAAGCCTAAGCTCCGTTTTGGGAGAACCCTAAACCCTAAACCCTAAACCCATCCATCTTCGAAAGCTTCCATGCGAGATACCCAGACGAGGTCTCCAGGAATTGGAAAGACGCTGGTGCCAGCCCAGGTCGTCACCAAGAAGGCCTGAATCTTCTGTAAAACCTGCATGGTCCACCAGATGGCGAGTGTTATATAATATCTATCTATATAGTCTTCATATAACTAGAAATACCACACAACGTATTCTCGTGACGAAGACCCTTAGATTTCCATTTCGGGGCTTGCAATCAATCTCTCGAATATCGGTGGTTTGGGCGTGTTGGAAACGGGATGAGGGATCTGGCCTTGCGGGATGCGCTGAATGACCGAAGCGCAATGTGTGTGTGTGTGTGTGTCTCTCTCTGTGTGTGTGTGTATGTGTGTGAGCGAGCTTGCTTGCTTGCTTGGCCGGCTGGTTGCTAGGAGTTCTTTTCTTCCAGTAGTGTTACTGTTGGTTTCTATTCTTGCTGGAGTTAATGTTATTATGGTCATTATTACTACAAGTCCATGGGAGCAGCTAGCAGTATTGTGTTGAAGACCGAATTCGCTTGTTCTTCGTAGCATTATTATCTCTCCATCGAGGTAGTTTCCAGGGGTTCACATCAAAATATGACCGTCTCTTCGTGAGAATGTGAAAATGACGGCATGTACGGTTCCTTGCGGCGCCTCTTCAAAGCATAGCATAACGTACCCCAACAGCCCATTCTGACTATGAACGCCCCTTCATCAAAACCCCTCCTCACATCCGATACATCCCTACAAGAACCGGTTTAAGAACACTATAAAGCCCCATCGTAAGCTTAAGCCCCTAAAACCTAAACCCTAGACCCCAGGCCCTTAAACCCCTACCCTTCAACCCCTAAACCCTTAAACCCTAAAGCCCGATTACGGTTGATGATGTAAATCCTGCATTACCTTCAGGACCTTGAACTATGGGAATTATGGTATTGCTTACTATGGGTAATGCAGGATTTAGATCATCGACCTAAACCCTAAAGCCCTATAGATCCCTGGAAGGAACCCCTTAAAAGGTACTCTTATAGATCCCTTCAAAGGAACCCTAGGATTTGTATCACCAACCCATTATTAAGGCCCCCTCCCCCTACCCCCCTACGTGCCCGAAGGTGGCCATCCTGTTGCCAGGGCCTGTGGCAGCTCTTGAGCTGAAAAAGAAGCCATGCACTTGGGGACTCTAGGGTTCTAGGGGTTAGGGCTTTAGGGGTTTAGGGGTTTAGAGTTTTAGGGTTTCAGGGCTTTAGGGCTTTGAGGTTTATGGGTTTATGGGTTTAGGGTTTTAGGGTTTTAGGGGTTTAGGGGTTTAGGGTTTAGGATGCCCGGGTCCTAAGTCCTAAGCCTTGAGCCTTGTGCCTGTCGGCTTCTGCTAAGCATCACAGTTGACCCAGCCGTTTCCCATCTCCTGACTCTAAGGCCGTACATGGTTGTCCACTTGAATATTTGGGGGTCCGGGCTTTGGGGTTTAGGAATAGGATTTAGGGTAATTATTGATTTTAGGGAGAACGTGCTAAAGGAATGGGTCTTTGAAGCCCTCTGAATTGTGAAGCACAGGCTGGATTCGAGCTGCATAATACTTCAGTGTGTTCAGTCTGTCTTGCAGGAACGATGATGCTTTGTGATGTTGAGGGGATCAATTTACTTGCACGAGGACATCTTCGCAGAAGTACTTGAAGCTCCCTAGCTCGATCCGGCGAGCTCAGCAAAGGGAAGCGGTGATTCGGGTTGCTACAGTGCGACGTGCAGACCGTGCTGTGTGTGGGAAACTGTTTCAAGCTGTAGTTTCAAGATGGTGTTCCGATGCAAGAATGTCTGGCGTATGTCTTCGTGTGCCGAGACTAACCTGGCAGAGACTCTTTGACCTGATGTCAGAGCACGTGTCTTGAGGTTATATAGCCAGAACATCCCGCAACACAGACGCGTAGGATGATGCTGCAGGAGTACATACCACAGACTATCCCGAAACCCTGCAGCATCACGCATCACACTGCCAATGCCGCCAAAGAGCAAGCCAAAGAAGGACCCTGCATGCATTTGACCGGGTCACGGGTTTAATTCAGGCATCTGAATAATTGCAGAAAAGGGTCCATATACCATATTTACTCGTTTCTATTTCTTCGGGTGGAGGCCATACTTGCTGGGATTTATGGTTAAGGATTTCGGCTTTAACGACTTAATATCGTAGATTTCGGGCTGGGCTAAGGAGCTACTGCACTCAGATGAACACATCGAACGGCGGGAGAAGCAGTGGAAGCAAGATTTATAGTGGCCTCCAACTGATGGGGCCGCGTTTATCTCAACTGGTGAGAGATACTGTGGATGGACAAAATCCTTCATGACCCTAAGGCCTCTAAACTATGGGAACTTTAGGGTTTAGGGTTTAGGGTTAAACTATGGGAACTTTAGGGTTTAGGGTTTAGGGTTTAGGGTTAAACTATGGGAACTATGGTATATTCCTTATAAAGGGTAATGCAGGACTTTGTTCAACAGTACGAATTAAGTTCCTCAGCAAACTGTCTGCTTGCTGACAAGTTATATCTCGAGAATGTCTCAGGCCGACTCAGGTCCATACCTCCTCAGAGGGGTACTTAGAAATATTTTTGTAACCTTTAGTTATTATAGTCGCTAAGAAACACCTAAAATTACAACTTTTGCTAGGGTTCTAAGTTCAGTATAGTCCTGGCCGGCGAGTCCGACTTTCTAGCGACACTCTGGCTCAGTGAAGATATTGGCATGGGACACAGGGGAATGCCAAAGTTGATCCATGGATGACAGCATCCACCACAGCCACAGGCGAGCCCAGCCAAGTCAAGCCCTAATATTACCAAAACCCCTGTGCAGGCCGCGTAGCACGAGACTCTGGCACTCTCCGCCCCCCCCCCTGCCGACAGCCACTGCTCCGTTAGCCCGCGCACATGTTCATGTCCTGAAACCCTCAAACTTCCTGAGGCCTTCAATCCATCCAAAGAGCCACACCCCCAACAAAAATCCTGAAGACGTCTTAGAAAGCCCGAAGCCATCATTCATCCTACAAGCCCAAAATCTTGAAATCGCCTAAACTCTACCTAAACTCTAAACCGAACACTAAACTCTAAAGCCCTACATAAACCCTAAAGCCCCAAACCCCTATATAAACCCTGAACCCGAAACCCTACAACCCTAAAACCCTTAGCCCAAACCCGGCGAGGACCAGGTCCTCAAGCGGCCCGCGCAAGCCAAGAAGCGCCCGGCGGCGAAGAGCGCCGCCTCACAAGCGCAGGCAGCAGCCAGACCTTCCAAAATCCCTTAATTAAGGAATAATTATAGTAGGATCCCTATTATGATTTAAGGTATATTCCTTAATTAAGTGATTTGGAAGGTCTAAGCAGCTTACACTCTACACATGGGTAGTTGCCAAAATTATTGTTCCTTTTTGGGTACCCTAAATAATAGGTGCCGTGTTACAGAAAGGGACCATAATTTTGATAACCACCCACATATGTGTTCAATATGTATTCCATATACATATTTGACATGTAAACATATTGTACAGATATGGCACATATAAGTAGAAGCAGCATGAAAGAGCATGTGTATGCATATGAATATATACATGTATATATATATATATACTGACATAGATATAGATATGTTGTGAGGTGTGCACAAATGCATATACAAAAACACTCATTGAAAATGGGAAGATATGTGACTCGCAGTCTCTCTCTCTATATGTGGAATTATATATATATATATATATATATATATATATATATATATATACACACACACACATGTATATATATATATATATATATGTATACACATACGTGCATACATACATACGTACATACATGCATACATACATATTTATGTGTCCCTGCCGTTCTTTCGCGATCTCGTGTCGTTTCTTTGCTTGTTTACCTATCTATTACTTGCGTGATCTCTTTGTGTCGTGTTTTCCCTGAGGGAGAAGCATGTTCTGTTTCGGTCCACAGGTCGGAGTTTGGTTCCTGCTCAAGCTTTGGAATGCGACACAGATTTAATAAAACCCTAAACTCTAATCCTAGACCCTCCATATAAATGTACGTAGCCACAACTAGCATGTCTTTCGTTGCCGCGGTTCGGCCTGCATTGCCGGCAGTTCTTGATCCATACACTAGAGTCGAGGTTCGGGTTGTTGGAGCTTTTCTTTTATTTGAACGGATTTCTAGAGTACAATTTTCATTATTCCGGTGTGGCCAGTGTCCTTGCTCGAAGATCTTTGACGGCTTTTTTATTCCTTCCGGCAGAGTTGTCCTTTCTTGTTCCAGGCGTCTTGACATCACTGCACAAAGTCTTTTGGTCCTAGGAATTAGGCTGCCGGAAATTCTCCAAAGTCTGCAATCCTTGCCGCTTAGTAGAGTTTGTGGCCCTGATATGACCGAAGCTTGACAGCTGCCTACGACATCACATGCTGTGTTAAGGGATTTAGGAATAGGTTTCACAAGAGTCTGGGGGCTCTGGGAGTGGGTTACAGGTGTGCTTGAGGATCCCTCGTGCCTACGATCTTAGAACCTTAGGCCGCGAGTTGAGCATGAAATTGGAAGCCGCAGGACGAGACTTCAGTTGATTGCTTGTTTGGTTTGCAGCCACCGAATAATGTAGGTGTCCGAAAGATGAGCACCTCCTGATCCCCTTAGACCGTCTGGTTCCTGGTAATATAATCCCCAATATTGGTCCCCATAACCCATTCCCCCATTCCCTACCAAGCACCGGACAGCAGAGTGATCCTATAGTTTACCGCAAAACCCTATTCAACGGTTGATGATATAAAGCCGGCATTACCCATTACAAGGAATATGCCCATAGTTCCCATGGCTTAGGGTCGTTAAGGTAATGCAGGATTTAGATCTCCAGCAGTAGTTATTTCCCCCTAAACCCTAAACCCTAAACCCTAAACCCTAAACCGTGTGGTTATTTCGGCCCGTATCCTTTTGCAGCAACAGCCTGACGACCCTGGGCTTCTTATCCAATGCTCACCGGGCTCTTGAAGCCCTAATATAGGGGCCTTAAGAATTACCTGTACTATGTTGGAGGTTCCTTATAGTAATGGTAGTATACTGGGCCCCAAAATCCTATTTCTGATTATGGAAGCCCTTATAGTAGGCGAACTCGCCCCAAAGCAGTTCCAAGCCATCTCGCAGTACGTCCTCGTGTCCTCCTACACGGAGAAGCACGGACATGTGCAATCCCCTCGCATCAATGAAGCGAAGGCGCGGACTCGGAGCACGGATGTCTTAGACTGCGGGGCTCGCCGTGTGCATCGGTGGCATCGCAATCGTCCTACAAAAGGGGCCGTAGTAATCACCTATACTAGTTTGGGGGTTCCTGATTACACTTGTAGTGTAATAGACCCCAAAACCCAATTCCAATTATTAAGGCACCTATATTATGCTTGAGGCTTCAGGGTGAACTCTTTGGACCTGGGTTTTTGTTAGTGAGGCCTCTTTGGCTGATTCTCGTGGTTAATAGGTGCGAGAACCCAAAACCTTCAACACATGGGGCTTCCACGAAATTTAGGGTTTAGGGATTTAGGGTTTAGGGTTACTTGATTTAGACTCTAAACAGCAGGAGACACTGGAACTTAAGAATCCCCTCTCCTATCCGCTTTAAACGGATCCAAAGTGCTCCAAGCCCTCCATGAAGCCTAGTCAAAAATCTGGTCTTCTGGGCTAAAAGTAGGGAGGTGCACCAAAATTCTGCGAAGTAGAAGCCTCATGGGCCCATGAATCGAACCGGGTCGTCCGATATCCTAGAGCCATTTTCACGCTATAGTACAAGCAGCCTCAATAATTTTCGGGTACTATTCCTCACGGGTCCTCCCTGGAGCAATATACTCAAGTGTACCCCTAAAACACTTTCTAGTTTTTGAAGGCGTTATACTTCACTTATTAATGCTTTTATCTCCGTTCGCCTGCCTTTATTTTGAACGCCGAAGGCGAAGCCCTGGAAACCTGAGTATTCGATACTTAGAGGATCATGAACCTTACTTACTAAGTCCCCGTGAGCCTTTAAGTATTCCTTCACGTCAAGGAGCCAGGATACAGAGTCTAAGCATTGAGGCTTTTTTTTTAGAGGGGTTTAGGGCTCCGGGAGCTGGGAGGTAGGATGTCGCATCACTAAGCGATAAACGC